AAATGCCCCGGAACGCTCGTTTCCGCCACAGCGCATCCCGATGCGGTTTTAAGATCGCTCGGGCAGGGTTTTTTCTGGATCTGACCACACGGTCGTTCACCAAGGGCTCTGTCAGCTTGGGGTGGAAAGTAAGTCCTCGGCTGCGCCCGGGCAGCTGCCTTGAGTGTGTGATTTGCCAGCTGCTGAGGAATGTGGTAAGTCCCCGAGGAGGCTGTATTTAAAGAATGAAAATTGGTACAGCGTAGGCTCAACAGTCTGGAAAGTTGCATCAGCAGCCCATAGATTATCCACGTGCATATAGAGAGCGGGTGGCTTCTGCCAAACTGTTAGCAGCTGACTTTCAACTGGAGTTACCTGTTGTGGAAATGTTTTGTTCTTCTCTTGGTTTCCTTCGTAGTTTTCTTTGTCATTTAACATGTTATTTCTTTACCAATTTTCTTTTGGTAATAAAATTTGCTGCACAGCAGCTCTTTTCATTCGTTTTCCTCCCCTTCTCTTTTCTCATGGAAATGTCCTTTGTACAACAAGTGCAAAGAAATTTGTTGTTGTCTGGAACCCTTGGCTCCAAAGGGGCTCCTAGGGAAACTGCTGCAGGATCCAGCTCTCCCAACAGAGAGTACTGAGAAGGGCGTTTGGGGAGAGCTTAGCTCAACTCCAGTCTGTTTTCCCCTGCTGAAAATGCAGTGCCCTGAAAGGGATGACCATACCGTCTTCGTTGTTCGACTTTGATTTGTGCTGATGTCGCGTATGAAGGGCTCAGACTTGGAGAAGCAGAAAGGCGGATGGAGCTCTTCATGGCTATTACAAGTCATATCATAAATGTATTTTGCAAGGCACGTGCAAATTGTTAGCTAAAGAATGTTACTGACCGCTTGATAAAATCCAATTCTGTTGAACCAGCACTTTCTGACAGTCTGTGTGTTCCCTTTGACTCTTTTTTCCCCCTTCTTCTAGCATGATGCAGTGTGCACGTGAAACACTGATTAAAACTTTGCGATCCCTAACATCAAAAGCAGTGCAGTTCTTTCTAGTTGACCTCTTGGTGACCAGCTGCTGCAGTTGACAGGCCATGGGGGTACCCTGTCAGCAAGGTAGATGTCTTGTTCCTGCCACTCACCCCAGAGCATGTGGTTTCTTGGCAGATCCTGGGGCGCATGCGTACAGCATTTGTTTTGGTGGCTTTTCTACTGGGGCTCCCTCCTGCTTCCTTTAGGAGGAACTAAGAGTGTTCTTGCTCTGGCACAAGAATTTGCTGAAATCGGAAGCTGCAGGTCCAATGGTTAGAATCTAATTCCACTTTGATAGGTGAGAGCTATGGGACAAGAAAGAAAAATGGAAGGCTGAAGCCAGAGGTGAGCAGGCTAGGACTCCCTAGGAGTGACCTGCATGTTTTTTGTCTCAAAACGCTACTTCGTTTCTTTCTTGGCTTTCACTAACACAGAGGAGGCTCATCTTCAGAAAGCGTGGGACTTCATTCTCTGAAGTTAGGCCTTGTCCTCTTGGGTCAGTTTGAGGTTTCCAGTTCCCCAAGCTGATTTTTTTCCTATGTTTCCCTCAATGGCTTGGTTGTCCTATTTGCACAAATCAAGTGAAGGCACAGAGGGTTGAAGTGAAGATTTAAGATTCTTAGTTAGAAAGAGTACCTGTGCAAACATAAAGTGTTCTGTAAAAGATTGGGAGTTTCATAAGGCTCCTAGAAAGCATTCTGAAATCGAGATAAGTAAGTGTTGAAATAACAACTTAAAACATGGTCTCCACAGTCACAGGCATATGATTTAATTATGTTACACTACGAAAAGTCTTCAGCTACTAGGTACAACGAAGTTACATTGGTGAGTGTACCTCTGTTAGTCTCACTGGGCGAGTGTCAGGTTGCTGCAGTGTTGAGCAGCTGGCGTATGCGTGATGCGTTGGTGACTGCGCATAGCGGAAAATTCCCTTTATTTATTTGTCAATATTTTCTTATGTCAGGTGTTACTAGAAGCACAGAAAGAATTGGTGGACTACAAAGGACTCGGTATAAGTGTTCTTGGTAAGACTTTTAAAAAACTTTATGTTTTTCAGAATGTAGATGTTTAACCAAATTGTTTAATGAGAGTTTTTCATCTTGGTATTTCAGCTCCTTCTCTAGTATCTTGTTCTGGTAACCCCTGTGTCCAGAGAATACTTTGTGATACTGCTTCACTACTGTTCATCAGGAGACTGTAAAATGATATGTAGCCAGATATTTAGTGATCCAAAGCAAAGACTAGAGAGAATAAATAAGCAATTATGTGTAAAACATAAAAAAGACCTTTTTATATATAGATATACACACACCCCTGCCCAAAGACCCAGAAGTAATAATAAGTCTTTGAAGCACTATATATGTCTACACACACTATACACGGTTATACACACGCACATGAGAGTATCTTACTTAGTATGTAGCAAAACGCTTCAGGTGTATTTGATGTATAGCATCCTTCCTATTAGGAAGACAATGCTACCCTGTCATAAGGAGGAGGTGTCTTCTGTGCCACATGGGTAGCTGACAGGCTTTTCAGCCTCAGTTGCACAAAAACTTCAGAACTGGGAATGGGAGCCTTCAGGCGTTTTGGGTCTGTAGTGTAAAATGTTTAACACTACGATTTTTAAATTGCCTTCTTGTGTTATCACTTTGTTTCATGCTATTCTTTCTTTTCTACCAAAGAAATGAGCCATCGGACCTCAGATTTCACAAAGATTTTAAACACAGCTGAAAATCTCATGCGTGAATTACTGTAAGTGAATTACTTCTTGCTTGTTTTTATTTTGTGCTTGTGCTGGTTGCACCAGTAATGACTAATGTGGAGACCTTTTCCTTGAAAGCACCTGTTTGTAGTGGTGGTTTTCTTGTTTAGATGCTGTGCCTGAGAGGAGTAATCTTGGAGAGGACATTGGTTTGTTCGTCTGATGCTGATTTATTTCAGTGTGACAAAAGGCTTTTATTAGGTTAAGATGCTTTCCATGTGTCTACTATATACTGACTTTCTTCTGAAACTTTAGGTTTTTTGTCACCTTCATAGAATTCATGAAGGGCAGCAACTTTCTTCAAGAAATAAGTGGAAGCAGTAGAAATCAGTTCTCTAGTAGAATAGAGGTGACCTGTATGTATGTCAGTCTGATTTGTACTAAAATTCTGTGGATGCGTTTTAGAATCACTGCTCAGGAGGCCTTTCATCGGTCTGATTTTTACTAACATAAGCTCTGTGGATGTGTGTTAGGCAAAAGGTTCCTTGTCAGTAATTCTATTTGTAGTATGGCACACTTTTTAAGGTTTGAAACAAATATATTGTATATTGGAATTAATGTTTTCATAGTAGTTAATAATGATGGTCATGGCATGTAAAATCTTGACTCCTAGTCACAGTTAGAATTATTGACAGAGGAGTTTTAATGAATAATTTGTACAAGTAACTTCTGTGACAGTATGAATGACTCCTTATGGCACTTGTGCTACAAGTGCAATTCACTGTACAGTTGCACTTGCACCTGAATTCATCAATGAATTCTACTATGAGCACTTTAGTGTGAAGTCCCTACTCCAACAGGAAAACTGTGACAAGTGAGCATTAAGTCTGCTGGAATATTCCAAGTTTGTGGGTACTATGACAGTAAAGCTACTCAGGAGTGAGTTTGTTTAATGCTATCCAAGGGAAAAAGGCTTGTTTTCAGCAAACTTTTGAGTAAAATGTATAGCATTACTCTTAATATTTAAATTGTTACTCAAGACCAGTGTGGAGGTAAGTTAATGCGATTTGGTCTAACACCCTGGCAAAAAATCTTCTAAAATGACAGTGTTCTTACTCAGCCACAGTTAAATACATATCAAGTAGTACACATTCTGTGTCTTCTGGGAATAATACAAATGGTTATTTCTTGCATGCAGGAATATACCAGAAAACTACAAAGTTATTTTCCTCCAAGGAGGTGGATCTGGTCAGTTCAGTGCGGTCCCACTGAATCTCATTGGTTTAAAGGAGGGAAGACAAGCAGATTATGTGGTTACTGGAGCTTGGTCAGCAAAAGCAGCTAAAGAAGCAGAGAAGTATGCCAAAGTGAATATCGTTCATCCAAAACTAGGAGCCTATACAAGTAAGTTGATGATTACATCCACCCCTGTGAATGCTTACCTTTTTCACCTTTTTCACTCACTTTAAAAATTGGTCCAAATCAGCTACTGGGTGTTAACTAGTTACAGAGTTGACTGCCCAGCACTCATAAGACTGCCTGTCGCATGTCTCAATGTTCATCACTGGGAGATCTGTTAGATGGCTTAACAGTCTCCAACAGAAAATAGTTGTGATACTAGGCTGAGCAAATCCCAGAAAATAAGTGTCAAGAAGCAAATGTTTATTGGTGGGGAAGTGGTCTCCCCTACTGTCTGATTTTTTTCTGTTTTTCTTTTTTGTTATTAACTGAGTCCTTTAAGCTATTTGCAGGCGTATTGTGTGATGTTTCAGGTATACTCAGTAATGAGATGGCTCTGAAATTTAGAAGCGTGTCTGGGATTTTAACCTTTCTAGCTGTATTGGGTTTGCGTGGCAAGGTTTTGGTAGCAGGGGGCTACAAGGCTGGCTTCTGTGAGAAAATGCCAGAAGCTTCCCCCATGTCTGACAGAGCCAATGCCAGCTGGCTCCAAGACAGACCCGTTGCTGGCCAAGGCCGAGCACATTGGTGACAGTGGTAGCGCCTCTGAGATGACATCCTTAAGATGGGGGGGAAAGGAAAAACACAAACCTGAAACAAAAGCCACAAAAGAAACCCCAGCCCCAAAAAAGTGCTGAACAGCAGCTGGAGAGAGGAGTGAGAATATGTGAGAGAAACATCTCTGCAGACACTGAGGTTACTGGAGAAGGAGGGGGGGTGAGTAGAGCTCCCCTGGCAGCCCGTGGGGCAGCCCATGGTGAGGGCAGACTGTGCCCCTGCAGCCATGGAGGGTCATGGAGGAACAGAGACCAACCTGCAGCCCGGGGGGGACCCCACGCCAGAGCAGGGGGATGCCTGAAGGAGGCTGTGACCCTGTGGGAAGCCCACACTGGAGCAGGCTTCTGGCAGGAGCTTCTGGCAAAGAACATCCCCATAGGAGCTAGTATATTTACTGGTTCACTAACTTGGAAGAAAGTTTATATCCTCTGAGGCACAGCAGGGAATAGAACCAACAAATACCCAGTCTAGAGGTGTGTATTCATCACTTGGCAGCTGTAGGTGACAGTAGAGGCCGTGAAGAATGGAGGCAATAGCAACACTTCTTCCCCCTTGTTTTTTGGAGGAGAGGAAAAAAAAAGGAAGAGCAACCATTTGTTGTGTGCAAAGCCTGTCCTGTGCTGTCAGGGCATGCCTGTATAATGCCTGTTGACAGAAGAAATCAGTTTTGTAAATCAGTTGCAAAGCTTAAACGGGAAATGAGTAGGTAACCTTGTGTTCAGCTTGCACAAGACTGAAATGCTGCTGGGGATGTGGAGAAGCACAGCTGTAGAGAACTCTGCCACTGGGAATTTGGATGCTTCAGTGGCTCCAAAGGCATCAGGAGGATGCTTGGACGCACTACCTCAATTCCTCTGAATTGCTGTTTTGGACCTCTGGGTCGGAAGCTTGTAGCCTGGGATTGCAAACCTGATGGAAATCCCTTGAGGAATAAGAGCTGAAAACCAGAGTGGTGTTTGCCAGCTTATTGATGACTCACCACAGAATTGTGGGAATGGACTGGTGTATTTTCTTAGCAGATAGATTATATTTTCCTGGTAACAAGATAGTTAATACTTTATACCGCAGAATTGTTTGGGGTTTGCACTGAAGTTCCATGTTCAAGTAAAATTGCATGCCAGGAAAATTACTTGTCTTCACTGACCTTTGGTCTTCTTTTTTGTCTGTCTCAGACATTCCTGACCCAAGCACTTGGAACCTTAATCCAGATGCATCTTATGTCTATTACTGTGCTAATGAGACTGTACATGGTGTGGAGTTTGACTTTGTACCTGATGTCAAAGGAGCAGTCTTGGTTTGTGATATGTCATCAAACTTCCTGTCCAGACCTGTGGATGTTTCCAAGGTACGGTATTGGACACAGTGGCTGGACAAAGCATTTTCATACTTGAATGCATGTAGTTAGACACTTCAAAATGTCTGTGTGGTCAGAGATGCTGAGTAGTGAATTTAAGCAAATCATATTTTGCTAATTGGCTATCCGATGGTGGATACAAATGTTGAAATCTCAATGTTTGAGGTTTCAGGGTCTGTCTTCTTTTTTTTTTTTTTTTCAGGAAAAGCATATCAAACTATGTTGAAATCATTCATGTTAATAGCTGTCCAAGATTATTTGTCTACTCTGTGGTCTTCACTGATGCTGTATCAGAAACTGAATCATATTTAGTCTGAAGATAGTGTATATGGCTATAGTGGAGTATTGTGAATCAGAATGTTTGATCCTGCTTCTTACATAGAAAATTTGTATCTGCTTTTAAGCTGCTGAAGTTTCCTGTGCCTCACAATTACTGTAGCTGATTCGTAGATAGTACGGAGGCAGACTGTAGTTGTTCCTTATGTCTGTAAAGTGTCACGAGTGGGAAGTCTCACTAACTAGTGAAGTAGCATGTTAGACCTTTATCTGTGTGTAACAAAAAAGCGGCAGTTGTTAGTGCATTCATCTTGGCCTTCCCTGATCTGCCTCTTTGAGCAGGTGGATTGTGTGATGCCTGTTCTCAAATAAACATAGACCAGAGTATTTTCATCCAATATGATGAATTCACTTTTAGTAAAGTTGCTTGGAGTAGTGTGAAATGGGGACAGGCTACCTTCAGAACTACGTGTGGCTACTAAATAAATATTTAGCAAATCACTGGGAGATCTGTTGTGATGATCTTCCTCAGCTGAATGAAGACACATCGTTCTGATAACAGACATACATGGGATAACAACTGTAGCTGTAAGTACACCTTGAACTTCTAACTGTTCTTTGGCCTACAACTTGCTAATTTTCAACATGCTTTCCAGGCTGTTCTGCTGAGTTGTATGCCTGTTGTAATGGCTGATACTGGTGTATTACCTAGTTAAAAGGTTTTGCTATTGAACGCGTGTAGCAAGTCCTTTTCTTCTTTCTGTTCAAGTTTGGTGTGATTTTTGCTGGTGCTCAGAAGAATATTGGCTGTGCTGGAGTTACTGTTGTAATAGTACGTGAGGACTTGCTGGGATTTGCACTGAAGGAATGCCCTGTAGTACTGGATTACAAAACACAAGCAGTGAATGGCTCTTTGTATAACACTCCACCCTGCTACAGGTAACTTAGCTGGCTGTTGAATATCGCTTATCGTGAAAGCTGCTGCACTGCCACCTGCTGCTCTTGCCGAGAAAAGCTTCAGAACCTGAGAATTTGCCTTCAAGTCACTGATGCCTTGGAGTGTTTTGCGTGATTCCTGTGAAAACATGGCGGGTGTCCAGCCACG